CAGATGTCATTATCATGGCAGGACCCAGTACCCACAGACCTAGATAAACAACACAAAGTCTGAAAATTTTCTTTTCCGTCTTGTCTTCCGTGTTCATTAGAATGCACAGATGTGGTTTCCTGTCCTTGTCCAACACTTGAGGGAATACGCCGGGAACACTTTGTGTTTTCTCTGTCACATCAGCTTTAATTTTAAATCATCCATGCATTTTGATAGCAGATGCGAAGATCACACAGATTTTTTTAAGGGATTAGATGTGAGTTGTAAATCCTATTACACTCAAACCCAGTAACTGAGCTGCGGGCACAGCCAACTGGGGCTCGCCCATAATCTCACTTCTCTGGCTCTAATTATCCCACTAGATTATATCCATAGATCATTAGATCCTGTTACATAGATCAGACCATTAGATTAGCTTACATGATCTAGAAACCCATTTGAAATGAATGCTTTCCTGCACCACGGCTGTTTATTCAAGAGTATGTTGACAGGGCACAGCAGTGCGTCATCGGCCAGCTTCCAGAGCGGTCCGTATCAGATGAATTATTGTTGGGATGTCAGAGATGTTGTTGATGTAAGAGGAATTGGAAAAGGGTGGTGGTGCTGTAGCTTTCCTTTGCTTGATCTACTTTTACATGACAACAGAAGCGACATAGAGGGGTTTTTCCTCCACAGGCTGGAAAAGCCCTTCACCAATTCCAGAAACGTTCAAAGTGGGTCAGGCAGGGCAGGGCTGACAGCAGTCTGCAACTGCTGCTGCAGCTGTGCCTGTGTGTGGGTCCTTATATTCTGTTTTTGCACACACAGATAGAGGAATGACACAACAGAAAATAAGACAGGAAGAGAACGAGGGAGCTGTAGAGAGGCCACTTTAGAAAAGAAAGAAAAAATAAATAAATCACAACCTTTTTGTGACAGATCAATTTATATGCAGAGAGGACTTCTGCTGCAGAACAACACGATTTGAGATCTTACGGTTCTGATGCTTGTTGTTTTCCAAGGAAACCCCCTGCTGCTGCCAAACCAACACTCTGTTTCCCTAGAAACAAAAGAGGTGGCATGTTGAAACATGCAGTGCTTTTGTTGTAAAAACTAATACCAGTGCGACTGGGAAAGTCCAACTGCAGCATAGGTTGAATACTCCATAGGTGATAAACAGCACTGTTGTTTCATCATTTAGGTGTGTTATAGAGGGAGAACACTCAGAGATAGACGAGGAGAAAGAGACAAAAAGATGATGAGTAACAGAAGAAAGAAGGCAAATGAGTCAAGGACCGTCTTGACTTAGGGAATTCCACAGAGACATTTTCAAAGTAGTCCTGTGTTTTTAGGAGTGCACACATCACATCAGGCTTGTCTGACATAACTGAAAACGCTGTGTCATTCTAAAAACAATTTCCTTCACATTTTAGCATTCATTTCATACTCCCCCCATTGTCATATGCCCTTTGTCAGAGTTTCATAAGATCATCCCCTCTTTCTGATTTGATAAACTGCCTCACTTACTAAATATTTTATTATAGCAATGCTCAAAAAATAAAAGCGTGTCTCTGTGCTGTAAGTAATGATGAGGCATAGTTGACCTAAGATCCATTTGAAACATTTTATCTGTTGGCCGTGAGTAAGTTTGACCTTCAACGTGAGTTGTATCAATAGGTTGCAAGAATTAGAAAATCCATTATGTCACTCTAATGTATTCACTAGCATGCATGGATGTCTGATGTGAAACTGTCAGTCATTAATAATACATTTATTGCATGTTATTTGAGGACATGATGGAATTCGGGACACCTTCAATCAGACACCCCACAAAATAGGATTTTATGTCAACAATCATCTATTATTGAAACTTCCTTCACACATTTTTCCATTGCTTTATGACAATGCTTCGATCCAGTTTAATTCCCATTTGATAGAATTCAAGGCCTAAAAATGTTACAAGAATCCTTCGGCGTTTGCCTTGTTGCTGGGCAGCTCAGAAAAATTGGCTCGAAGCGTCGACAAGCTGGAGAGGGGAATGTTAGGTGTTTGTGTCTGTCCTGTGCTGTTCTTGTCTGTCTGTGTGTGTGTGTGTGTGTGTGTGGTGTGTGTGTGTGAGTAGAGTATGAGAGATTATCTGGCCTGGCTCGCCCAAGGTGAACACCGCCAAAAAACCATTACATGTATTTATATGCGATGTATGGAGGGAAGCCAACGTTTCGACGCCTACAACATCACGCTACTGCACACCCTACTACCACACAACTTCTTTATATCATCCATTTACACAAAGAAGGGTAGTATTTCAGCACAGTCCAGCAATCCAAGTTATTGCAGTTTTAATTATGTACAGATGTGTGCCTCCCCAAACTAGATCTTGCTCAGAAATCTATCTGCTCTCAACCCGCCTGCACAGTTGTTTATAATGTCTGCTGATCATAGTTCAAAATTAATCGATTCGCGAAGGGTTTAAGCCCCGAGTCTGTGTGGCAAGCACAAAAAAAAAGAGTATTTGCTCAAGGGAATTGTGCGTGCTCATTAAAAAGTGTTCATGGTGAAATTGTTGTGTGAGTACAGCTTGTGTTTTGTGGCAATGTGTGTGCTTTCTGGTCTCGTGCTCGGTCCTGCCTGGTAAATGCAAAGAACGTCGCCCAATGTCCCCCCCCAATCCACTAGTGTTCTTGGAGCTTATAACAGTAATTGGTATCGTCTGATTGCTGGGACGTACATGTTTGAAAGACAGTAATGGAATTCAAATAATTTATTATAAAAAATCCTACTGCATTTGGCAGTGGCTGGGAAACAACTAAGGCAAATTATATGAACAAGAAAGAAGTTAAAGAGTGATACAATAAAGGCAGTGGCAGGTTAGGAAATTTAGTTGTTTTTTTTCCGTCCTTTCCCCACCCTATATCTGATCATTCAGGTTGGCTTTGGAAAACCCTGTCCTCTTAGTCTTTAAGATTTAAGTGTGTCTTGTATTATGAATTGTAGCGAGAAAAGGTGCTGAAACATTTCCATGTTAAGTTGAGCTGGTTAAAGTTAGTGGTTTCCAAAAGGGGGTCTGCTAAAAAGGAGATTTCTACTTGAATTAGTTTTGAACTAAAACAAAGAATCAGGTTGGTGTTCATGACATTTTAGCCTCCCATTAAACTGGTGTGATTAAGCATTTGGTTTTGTACTAATGTGTTCTCAGAAAACAATTTTATAAAGAACTGAAACTTATGGAAAAAAGTCTGCTTTACTGCCATGATTGATATGAAAAAAAATAGATAACAAGTTATGTCAATGCAACAAAAAATAATATGCCTCCTGGGTAAGTGTAAAAATTCAAAAGAAATACTGTTGAACTGGCAGGATAAATTGCTTTATTCCAACACATTACACTTATCGGAATATATAATTAGATTACAATGCTTATTTGTAAAATGAAAATTTTAATGTTTAGTGCAGGCCTACATATAGGATTCTTAAGTCATGGTATATCTGTTTCACAATGAATAGTAAACCATACTGTGTGTTATACGTACTTTATGCAGAAGCAACGAGATGAATGTTTACATCAGAACGACCCATGTAGCTGGCACTATTAAGATAAGAGTAGATTAAGAGAGACTTTAGGGGTCTTGGTCAGTTTGTCATGCATGAGACAGAGAGTATGTCTTGCTTAGCCATCCTTTTTTTGTTCTCGGTGAGGCAACAAGCAGGCATTGTTGAATGATGGCGCGTTTACTCCGCCGTTGTAGCGTTATTGCTCCAGACACCAGCAATTAGAAGGCAATTTTTTCGTCTCTTTTTTCCCAAAAAGTGCAAGCAGTGAAAAGTCTCAAAGTGATGAAGCAAAAAACCCTAATATGCCATCAAACCTCCAACAAGAGCAATTTCTAGAAGAAAGACTGCTTGAGCTGTACACCTGACACGATAAAAAAAAAAGCCTCTCTCTGCCCCTCCAGCAAAAAAGACGCGTCTTGAAAAAAGTTTCTCCTCCCTGTGGCTGTGCTCTCCCTTCCTCTTTCTTCTCTTTTTCTCCCCTCTCCTTTCTCCTCGTCCTCCTTTCTTGTTTCAACAGCCACACCACCAACACCACACACAACACCAGCACACAGCGAGTTTCTTGGCCAGAAGGTAGCAATGGTTGTAGGCTGCAGGGTACACACACACACACACAGTTGCTTGCAAGGAGCATGGTTTAGGCTCAGGTGAAGTTGATTGTTCACCTCCCCGGGGCTTTCTTAGAATGAAATCTAGTGTGATGGCTGTCTCCACAATAAGACTAATGTTGATGGTATATGACCCCAGTGGTTGTCCATGTACACACCCAAACAAACGCACACACCCAAACATACACACACTTCTACACACACACAAACACGCAGATGAAGAAATATTGTCGCACAGCTTGAGCACAAACACTATTTTTCTAGAGATATCCCAATGTGCAGTAATGTGCAACTTCCCTTTAAATTTTCCATTCCTTTCCTTTTTACATTTTCTTTTTTCTGTGTTATTACAACCCCACAAAATGCCAACTAAATTGCAACATGACTTTTTGTCTGCTGCAGTGATGCTGGGCAATTTAACTGTAGCAATGATTTATTTACAGTAGATAGTGGCTAATTCCCCTGTTGGGCCAGCTGGAAGGGACCGAGCTCAGACGCTTTCACATCCTACACACACTATGGACCCAGAGAGGGTGCTGTTGGGTTCATTATTGGAGTCAGGCGACCACAGATTAATTCTGCTGCCTATAATTGGATGGCCTATCTCTGAGCAGGGCAGGGCTTATGTGCCCAGAAAGTTGGCTATGGGATTTGCCTGTGAACATACACAGGAGTTAGTACTGTAAAATAGTCTGGCACAGTGTGCAGTTAAAACCCTCAAAAAACAACAGACAAAAGTTAGAATATCTTTGCTATATTAAAGCAAACTGATTTGCAGTAGCAGTCCTTGTAACACATTTTCATTATTTGACTAATTGCTAATGTTTTTCACTGTTCTTTCTTCCTTTTTCTCTTCTACAGATCCCCAGCTCAAGGGTATAGTGACCAGGTTATATTGCAGGCAGGGTTACTACTTGCAAATGAACCCCGATGGCTCTCTTGATGGGACCAAGGATGACAGCAGTAATTCCTGTGAGTACCCTGACAGTGTCTTTTGGCCTTCTAGATCAAACATTTGATAGGTGTCTAGAAACATTTGATGAATTGCTAAAAGAGAACACTATGCAATATAAGTCAACTATTAGTATTGTTGAAAACTGCTGAGTTACTGTCTATACAGTCTCCACAAGCACAAATGTTGTTTTCCAAGAAGTGCCTTGCTCACTTCCTGGTCTAGATAGATCCCTGAGGTGCAGGAAATTAACCAGTGACCTTCCAGTTACGCTTCTCTAACCTTCAGGCCAATACTTTTCCTCATTTTTCAAGCTTTGGAGCAAAAATCTCTTCTCAAGTGGCAGCAGGTATAGGATCACACTGATTTATCCTCCTCTCTGAGGGGGAAAGTGGACCAGGAAACAGTAGGCTTAGCGGGCAGAAAGGGGTATTATTAGCTTGATCTGGCACTGCTCCTCTAGCGCTCCAGGCTAGGTGGTTAATTTGATTCCAGTCCTTGGTGTTAACTCCAGGCTGACACTCTGTATTGTGTCACTTACTTCTTTCAGCATGAGGAGATGTGGCACATGTCACATCTGAAAGGCTGCAAGGACCTATTGACCTAACAGTGGGCAGTGCATATTGTGTTCACCGAGGGATATATCATATCATTAAAACTCCTAAATAAAGTCAAGTTCTGGCCCTGACTGTTCCACATTAAAAGTAACATTTTTGAAATTGGCCAAAAGCCCCCAAAAAACAAGTGGCCACGCTGTATTCTCTCAGCCTTTCCCAGGCTCCAAACCTGCCAATACCAATTACTTATAGGGTCAATAGAGGTCATAAGGCGCCTTTAAGTCTCCCATATACACACACCTAATGTCACAGTCAGGCCAGTCCTGTTGTTCCTCACCAGTACAAACAACAGCCATTACCTACCAAGCCTAAGGAGTCTGCTACAACAACAAAAGGGCTATTAGATCTGCCACGCACCAGTGGTGGCCCCAATTACAGCCACTTCTCAGGTAGCTCTGGGTGGCAGCGGCTATGCTAGGTGATGCTGCAATTTATCTTCAGAGATTACCTAAATGCAACAACTAGCATTTGTATTATACATGCTTTGTGAAGCATTAATGATAGGCAGCTTGCATTTGGATCATGAATTACACTATGTTTTTTCTCACTGTATTTAATGTTCACTTAATGTTTAGGTCTGTCGATGGTAATGATGTTTGGTGATATTTTTATGTATGTGTGTATGCCTGTTCAAATGTGTTTCAGCTTTGTTCAACCTTATTCCTGTGGGCCTCAGAGTTGTTGCCATTCAGTCCGTGAAGACAGGGTTATACATCGCCATGAACGGGGAGGGCCATCTGTACACATCAGTAAGCAGACTATTCTGTTCTATTGCATGTCTTGAAGATGTACTTGATTATGTTTCAACATAAGTGCATACAAAAACCTCCATTACACTCAGCCACAATGCATTATGCTAAATATGCATTCTGATTTAAGGCATGTTTGTGTCTGTACTCTGTGTGTTTTACATATGAAAACTAGATATTCTCGTATAGATAGTAGATTGTAGATAAATTCATCAACTCTGACAGCATGCAAGACACTATTCCCAATAAGGGGCCCTAAACATGTCTCAGATATTTACCACATTTGCAACAGGATAATTGCATTTCTCTGAAGGTTAAGGATCCCATTAAGCAGAAATTCATGCATACATGTTTATATTAATCTGCTCAATGCTCCCCAGAGTTTTTATTCCATGTAGGAAAAAAAAACATTTATATCAGGTGACATATTTTGCTTTCATGCTCTTACACCGTATATCACACAGTGTCAATATTAAGGTCTATAAAAGTGAATTAGATGTATGCTGCTGGCAGAAGAATGCTGTGACACATTTGTTTAGCATAATGTAAACCATACTTTAAAGTAAATGAAATGCAGAGCTGTTTCTGACCAGAGTTAGGACATCTGAAGAGCAGCCAATCTTTTTCACTTCGTAGTCACCCACTGTTATTGACTACCTCTCTTAAAAATAAACTAGACTTCTTCTTTGGGCTAGACAGCCAAGAGGGTGATAAGACCTTGCCCAGCACAGATAGTGCTTCCAGTCTCACTCCCCTTACTCTGTCCTCTCCCAGTCATTCCAGTCAATCAGTTGGAAGAGCACTGGGAGTAGTGCTTCTCTCCCAGACAGCAGTATCCATCAGAATCACTGCCCCTTCTTCCATCTGCTGCCCTCTTGTTCCTAATCGTCAGAGCGCAGAGCAGGAATTGCCATCTTATTCTTCATTCATTACCTTGGAGGTTTAGAGGGGCTACTTCTCTTACTGTACAATGCGCCAGTATTCCAGTGGAATTCTATAATACTTAATCACTGCATGACTTAAGCCATCAAATGAAATTAATTTGAGGAGGATTGACCTAGAATACTATGGATTTTGTCAAGGAACTGTTTGGTGGGGATTATGAATTAATATATTCTATGGGTGCACTAAACTGCAGAACATACATTAAGGTATAATTTGTATGATTGCATGCAATCAGTTTCCCTGTTAGACACAAAATTGATCGTAGCACCATACCTTGAAATGTAGAGCTTTAAATGTTAGTTTCTTGTTATGTTGATTTTCATACCCAACTTTAAACTTTTATAAATGTATACACTTTAAGGAAGTTTGTTTTAATTCATTTATCTATTCAATTCAATTAATTCAACCTACTGTAAAAGACAATAAAGGCAAAAAGCCAACATTTGGACAAGCATTAAAACTTAATAAAAACATAAAAATAAAAAAAGGTTCAAATCAGCCTTAAGTCTTAACACAACAAAGAATGTGCGGAAAAAACATAATTTTATAAAATATTAATATATATATATATAATATAAAAGAATTATGTTTTATATATGATAATGTTAATATTTGCGTTAGAATATGTATAATTAATAATGCCCAGTATATATATGCATAAATAGTTAAAACTGTGTACATGCACAGTAAATCTCCAGGTACTGTATGTACATTACAAAAATAGTAGTGGGCATACAAAATCATGAAATGAATAAAGGACCTCGTCCACACAGATAATCTGTGTTTGACATATGTTTGTATGATTTTGCTACTCCACTTGTCACATTCAATAACTGTGAGTTGTTTTTGGCGCCTGGACGTTGATCTCCAATGGTTTGGCGTCTCTGTAGTAAGCTGACAATTATTGCTGTGAAAACTCACATCCATGTGTTGATAGCCAGATCTGTTTTTGAGCAGATAAATACTGCTATTTGGCATTCAAGTTAACCTACAGCTTGCAGGAGCATTTGTAACTGTGATATTACATTTGGAAACATTTTGTCATTAAGTGTTTTTGTTG